GGACGCCGCCACCAAATGGACCAATGACTGCCAAAAGGCCTTCGACAAAATCAAGGAGTACCTGTCAAGTGCCAACACCACCAGTCTTAGTCCCGCCAGAGCCAGGTAGACCTTGTTACTCTACCTTGCAGTGTTAGATGGAGCTTTCGGCTGCGTTCTGGGGCAGCACGATGAAACAGGAAGGAAGGAGCAAGCCATTTATTATCTCAGCAAGAAGTTCACCCTGTATGAGGCCCAGTATGCTCTATTGGAACACACCTGTTGTGCTTTGACTTGGGTAGATCAAAAGCTGAGACATTACTTCTGTGTCTATACTACATATCTCATATCAAGAGTGGATCCCTTGAAGTACATCTTTCAGAAGCCCATGCCCACTGGCAAGCTAGCCAAGTGGTAAATCCTGTTGAGTGAGTTCGACATTGTTTACGTAACTTAGAAAGTGATCAAGGGACAGGCACTAGCAGACCACCTTGCTGAAAATCCAATGGATGGAGAATACGAACCCCAGAAAACGTATTTTCCAGATGAAGAGGTATCATTCATAGGAGAAGACATTGCGGAATCCTATGACGGTTGGAGAATGTTCTCCGATGGAGCAGCAAACTTCAAAGAAGTTGGCATTGGAGCAGTCCTGATATCAAAAACCGGTCAGCATTACCCAGTGTCTGCCAAACTCAGGTTCCCCTATACTAACAATATGGCCGAGTATGAAGCCTGCACCTTAGGAATCAAAATGGCCATTGACATGAACGTTCAAGAGCTGATAGTAATTGGAGATTCAGACTTACTTATACATCAGGTACGAGGAGAATGGGCAACCAAGAATTCCAAGATACTCCCGTATCTGCACCACGTACAAGAATTGAGAAAGAGGTTCACGAAGACGGAATTCCAACATGTTCCCAGAGTCCAGAATGAGTTCGTTGATGCATTGGTTACCCTATCATCTATGATACAGCATCCAGACAAGAATTTCATTGATCCCATTCCGATGAAAATCCATAATCAGCTAGCTTACTGTGCCCATTTTGAAGAAGAAGCAGACGGAAAGCCTTGGTTTCATGATATCAAGGAATATTTGGCAAAAGGAGAGCACCCAGAGCTTGCAAATCCTACTCAAAAACGCACACTTCGGAGATTGTCCAACAACTTCTTTCACATCGGAGGAATCCTACATATGAGGACTCCCGATTTAGGATTATTAAGATGTGTCAGCGCGAAGAATGCATCCAAGATGCTAGAGGAAATTCATGCTGGGACCTGCGGTCCACATATGAACGGTTTTGTCTTAGCAAAGAAGATACCCCGGGCTGGTTACCTTTGGATGACTATGGAAACGGACTGCATCCAGTATGTCCGGAATTGCCACCGTTGTTAGATACATGCAGACATGATAAAGGCACCTCCAAACAAGCTTAATGCAACAAGCTCATCGTGGTCGTTCGCCGCCTAGGGAATGGACGTTATTGGACCAATCGAGCATACCGCTTCCAACGGACACAGGTTCATCCTAGTAGCCATCGACTATTTCATCAAATGGGTCGAAGCAGCATCTTACAAAGCAGTGACTAAGAAAGTCGTGGCAGACTTTGTCCGCGACTGCATTATTTGTCCATTCGGAATTCCAAAGTCAATCATTATTGATAATGGCTCCAACCTCAACAGCAACGTGATGAAAGCTATGTGCAAAACTTTCAAGATCAAACACAAAAATTCCACAGCCTACAGGCCTTAGAGGAATGGAGCTGTAGAAGCCGCCAACAAGAATATGAAGAAGATATTGAGGAAAATGATAAAGAATCACAGACAGTGGCATGAGAAGTTATCATTTGCTCTACTAGGGTATCGCACCACAGTCCACACATCAACCGGGGCAACCCCCTATATGCTGGTTTACGGTACAAAGGCTGTCATTCCCGCTGAGGTAGAAATTCCTTCCCTAAGGATCATACAAGAAGTTGAGCTCAACGATGCAGAGTGGGTAAAAAGTCGTTATGAGCAACTAGCCCTTATAGACGGAAAGAGAATGAATGCAGTTTGCCATGGTCAACTCTACCAGAACAGAGTGTCCAGAGCCTTCAACAAAAGAGTCAAGCCAAGACAGTTCACACCGGGGCAGCTGGTGTTGAAGAAAATTTTTCCGCATCAAGATGAAGCCAAAGGAAGTTCTCTTCCAACTGGCAGGGTCTGTACATGGTTCACCGGGTTTTGACAGGAGGAGCCCTCATACTTGCAGAAATGGACGGAGAAATTTGTCCTAAGCCGATCAATTTAGATGCAGTCAAGCGTTACTATGTGTAATATTTATGCTTTCCTTATATGATGTAAATTGAACTACGCCTGACCTGATTCCCGTTTAAGATGGGATACGTAGGCACCCCTATGGGTTCGGTCACAATTCAATAAAAATTTCATTTCCCCCCGCAATCAGAAACTGGGGCAGAATTTTGATGAGGGCCCTCAAAATTCTGAAGTAATTTCAGCCGATCGCCGCACGAGCAACAGTTAGAAACGTCAACCCATCAAACTGGGGCAGAATTTTGAGGACCCTCAAAATTCCGTAGCAGGAGAGGTTGCAATGTCCTGAACTACGTCACAGTCGTCGGTTCATCTAAAAGCTATTTTTTTATGTCATACTTTTACAAAATCATGCATGTTTATTATTGAAACCGCTTTGTTTAGCAACGCTACCCCAATGATACAGACGGTATCACGAGATCAAAGCTAAACGAGTCAAGCAAAGCCATCGGGGATACGAACTAACCTCCATATTACAAAACTCATGATTTTTCTTTGAATGCAAGCACTGGGATTGCGAAATCATTAAAAATACTGTACGCCCATGGGACAAACATTGTTCAAGAATACGATTCTCAAAACCGTTGCGCTTGCCAACATTTGCAATCAGCACACACCAGTAATGCTTCGTAGTCACAATGCTCCCAGTAATCACAATGCCGCAATCTGCTATCAGCTAAGAAAGCTCTACTGTCATTTGTTATTTTATTTCTTGCATAAGGCTACCGTTCTGCCTTCCGAGACTAAACGCTGTCTCCATCTGCATCTGCATTGCATAAGGCTACTATTCTGCCTTCCAATTTGCATAAGACTACCATTCTGCCTTCCGAGACCAAACATTGTCTCCATCTGCATCTGCATTGCATAAGGCTACTATTCTGCCTTCCAATTTGCATAAGGCTACCATTCTGCCTTTCGAGGTTAAGCTCTACCTCCATCTGCATCTGCATTGCATAAGGCTGCTATTATGCCTTCCAATCTGCATAAGGCTACCATTCTGCCTTCTGAGGTTAAGCTCTACCTCCATCTGCATCTGCATTGTATAAGGCTACTATTGTGCCTTCCAATCTGCATAAGGCTACCATTCTGCCTTCCGAGGTTAAGCTCTACCTCCACTTGCATTCGCATCTTTGCATAAGGCTACTCTCTGGGCTTTCGAGGCTAGACTCTGCCTCCAATTTTCCTCGAAACTAAGCGCTATCTCAAGAACTATTTATCTCGCTTCTCTTACGGGCTAAGCTCTGCCCTTCAATTCGCAAGACTGAGCTCTATCTTGGCCGCATCATACTACTGCATCTTTCATGGGCTGAAATATCGCCAATTCATCCGAAGGCATCATCATTCGGAGGCACCATCTTCATAGCCCGAGAACACCATGTCATGGCCTGAGAATCTCTTTCAATCTTTTGCATATCATTATTCAAAGGCATAATGGTTCGGAGGCACCATCCTCATAGCCCGAGAACATCATTTCATCGCCTGCGAATCCTGCACCAAACAACCCATGCCCCAGGACATCATGGTCTGAGGACGCCATTCCTAACCGTCCAAAGACAACATTCATGGTCCAACGGGAATTTGCATCATGTTTAAATTTATGCACAGTATACGCTTGTATTGCTTCTATTTGCAGGTAAGTCGGCGACCAACGGCTATCCCAACAGGAGCGATCCCGCTCCAGTTCCCTCCAACTGTCCCGAGCCTTAAATGCTCACCGTTACCGCTTCCACATCTCGTGTCCGTTCTTACAAAATTTTATCGGCATACTCCGCAGGTGAATCCAGAACTACACATGGCCTGATTTCTATAAAACCAGGGATATGTAGGCAACTCGGAAACCGGAGCTCGGCCTCTGTCTTTCAAAACATCCCGTCCGGTCAAAATTGGCCATCATGTCTTTACCCGTAAACTCTTTCATCCTTCCCGGGTAAAGAGGGGCAGCTGTTGATACTCAATTTTTCCCTATATATTTTAAATATGCATAACTACCTTCAAAATAGCATATATATGCATATATAAGCATGCCCAAGGTTTTTATTATTTTTCCCATAGTTAAAAGGGGTTAAATTGACGTACTTTCTCTCGTTTTATACATAAAATCCCCAATAATTGTTTGCATAATTGTTGTTTAATTAATTCATCTATTTAATTTCTATATTTATTCCAAAATATGACTAAGGTAATTTTTATATATTTTTGCAATTACATTTAGTATGTTTAAAGCTAAATTGTACATAATTGCAATATTAGCCCTTGTAAGATTTAATTATGTTTTATATGCATAAAGTTGGATCTCGTATTTTTAAATTGTTAATTATTTATTTCAAATCATTTTGGCACCTTAAATTTATTTTCCAGAAATTGCCTGTTATTTTTTTATAAATTAAATAGGTGAAATTGGACATTTAAATAACAGCCAAATTTGGCTTTCAATTATAGCCAAAATTGGACCCTTTTCCAACCCAATTTCACACCCCAAACCACCCGACCCAGATCCTATACACGTCTACCTGACCCAAGCCATCCTAAATCCTGGTCGTTGATCTCTTAGATCAACGGCCCTCGTTCAACCTTTCTTTTTTAATTCTGAGAGACCCCCCTAACCCTAATCACTTAGGGTGAGTGGGGTTTCCCTACTTTTCCTTCTCCCACGCAAACGTAAGTACTCCTTCCTCTCTATTTTCTTGGGAAAGATATCATATATGGCGATGCGTAGTAATACCAAGTCAAGATCAAAAGGCTGGGCAAGTCTTCCAGATTTGGCACTTGATTTGATCTTTCAAAAGTCGTCTACTTCCCTCTCTGATTGCTTATGCTTTGGCGCTGTGTGCAAATCATGGTTTTCTTTCATGTCCAGGAACTATGACGCCCAACGAATATGCATGAATTCAAGTTCCTTTGAGGAACTTCCTTTGCTAATGATCTATCCAGGTGATCGAGACTGCGTTACCAACTTATATAGTGTGACCAAAGGTAAAATAATCTCTGACCTCAAACTACCTTATTACACTTGGAGATGTTGTGGTTCGTCTCATGGCTGGTTGGCTTTTCAAAATCCCTTAACCTTTTGCCTTTTCAATCCTTTCTCACGTGAGACAATTGATCTTCCTCATCTTGAATTTAATGTCCATAAACTTATTCTATCCAAGAATCCTTCAACGAGTTCATGTGATTTTGAGGTTATGGCTATGTCCAAGACTTGGGGCCAGAGTAAATTGGCTATTCTGAAACCTGGTAGTAAGACCTGGATTCCCACTCATCTTCCTGTTGTACGCTCTAGTTTCCATGATGTGATATACTACAACGAGAGATACTACGTTGTGACTTATGAAGGTAGGGTCTTATCTATCAACAATACTGCTTCGGAATATGAGCAGATTGCACCAGCTTCAATTAATGAAGCAATTACTGGTTTTAGAGAATTTTATCTTGTAAAGACCACAACTAACAAGCTGCTAAAGGTTCAAATAACTGGTCGATATGATAGGCAAGTGTTAATATTTCAAAGTTGGTTCCAAGTCCACCGACCAAAAAATCCATGTTTGCAAAATTGAATAACTTGGGAGATGAAGCCTTATTCTTGTGTCAGTATAGTTCTATTCGGTTTTGGCTTCCAAATTTTTGGAATGTAAATCAAATTCCATATATTATATGGATCTATACAATTCTTCTTCAAGATGTGTGGACATTATTCACCTTCAAGATGGCAGCTTTCACGCCCATTTTTGTTTCTAGGCGATTAGTGACATCAACATGCCACCTACTTTATGGATAATTCCTAGCCCAAATTTACTACTACATTTTAAGACATGTTTTGCATACACACATACACACACACACACATGTGTGTGTGTGTCTGCACGGTACCGTATTTAATATCCTTTTTTTTAGTTATCAGTATCAGTCTGTGATATGTATAAGTTTAAATAGTTAATAGTGTTCCATTGTTCTTTTGGTATTAATGTATAGTATTTTATATTTTCATACAGACTTCTTTATATTTAAAGATGCTTAATTTTATTGTATCTTTTTCGGTAACAAAAAAACCCTAATCACTTTTCTAAGGGCGCCGCCCTCAGATGCTCTCGTCTCTCTTCTCTCTCGGCCTAACCCTAATCACTCTTCACCGCCTCTTTCTCCGATCATCTCCGGCGACCACCCTTTCAAACCCAAGCCTCCAATGGGTCTCTCATCAACCTGCTCATCATCTCTAAGGCCCTCAAGGGTCCTAGGCCATGTCGATTTGGACCTAGGGTTTCTGTTCCTGTTACTTATGGGTCTCCGGTGTGATTTTGGGCAAAATCACACCTTATTTGTCACGATCGATGAAGTTTCAACAGGTTCCTTTAATTTTTTACTTGGTTTTCTTTTTGAAACCGTAACTCTCTTCTGAATCTCTCAGATCTATGTTATTTTTTATGTTTTAAGCCTATCTCCTTCTGTGACTTGCTTATTCTCGAGCTTTCTTCTGAATGATCTTCTACTTTAAACCATTTTTACTCCCTTTGAGAAACTAGGGTTTTCGGAGTTCTTTCTATACCTGTTTCGATTGATTTCTTCATGATTAAACCTTTTTCTTTGTTTATCTTGACTGATTTTAAGTTCTTACTGCTTTTTAACTCAACTCTATTAAAAAGCCCTAATTTCTTAAAGATTTTCTTCACTTGTTACTGTGAGTCTTAAAGATTTTCTTTACTTGTTTCTGTGTGTTGGCCTGATCTTCTTTACCTGTTTCTATGTGTTAGATTGGTTTTCTTCACTCTGGTTCTGTGTGTTAGCCATGACTACTTGACTTTGTTAAGTTTTTGTTGGTTACCATGCTTCGAATGGGTTTTTCTACTGAGTCCTTAGTCTACTCGTGTCACTTCTGTATGATTGTGTCCATCTGGCTGACTTTGCATGTCTACTACACCTGTTCATTCTTCTCTATTTATATGTTGATGTATAGAATCATGACTCCCGCTTGATTGATCCTGATTTCCTTAATTTATGGTTCGATTGCAAGATTTTCTTACAAAACCCTAAAATTTTACTCGGCTGTTTAAGTTGATTGATTCCATTTCCTTATTTGCTGTGGTGCTTCATTCTTGCTGAATCCTTTCCTTAATTCGTGTATTCTGTACTTAGACTCAATCATATGCTCTATAATTTTACTACCCCTTATATGGTAAAAATCAGTCTTTCTCAACTGATTTTCTTTGCTTGGTTATCATTGTTAGTATCCGTTTAAGCTGTAATTCCTTGATTAAAGGGGAGTACTTGTATTAGTTGGATTCTAATTGTGATTACTTCCATAATTGTGCTAAACCTTTACTTGTTACCTTATTTTCTACCTATTTTCAAAGCTATAAATACCCTAAATATTTTATTAACAAGACACGAGACTTGGCTTTCAAAAACCCCTCTCTTACTTAAAAAACTATGTGTTATTCTACTACTATTAGCCGGCTGCAAGTTAAGGCTAATCATCTGTAAACCTTGGTTCTTTCATTTTGCTTACCTCTATCTTCACTGGTATGTCCGAGTTTAATTTAAAGTCTCAACAACAACTTGTTTCTATTCTTGCTTCAGTTTCCTTTATTTTTGGCCTGCTTTTACTTGTGCTTTTGTTGTGAAGTCTGTATCTAAGCATGCTGATATGATTCCCTCCCTTTAAATTCATGTATTCCCTTTGTGTGATTCAAGCATGCCTGGACAATTGTATTCTTTTACCTACTGTGCACTTACCACTTTGTGAATCCCAAATCCCTATCCCTCCTCTATGTGTTCATGACTGGTTTGTGATTATGCCAGTGTCCAACTATCTCTGAGCATGTCCATATCAGTCCTAATACTCCTGCTGCGGTCAGGTGTCTGCAGTCAATGTATATGCATCCCCAAACCTTTTTAACCCCATGTGTGATTACTGAATTCATTCACTTACTGTGTGTGGTCTTACCCTGAAGTGTTTGAACTCTGTTTTACTAATCCAACTACTTTCAACCATCTCTTTTACTAATTGTTTTCAAAATGGACCTTTCAGTCCAGTTTTTTAACAAACTTCTTTCAAACATGTGTCCTGCACTTTCACTCTACTCCTAGTTAATAAGTTATGCCCCTTTTGTGTGAGCCTTGCCTGGGGACTCTTGAGCTCCCTATGAACTTGGACACACAAAAGCTGGCCTTTCCACACTGTACTTACTCTATCTTGGCTATGAAATCTGGGTGTGAGCACTGCCCGGGATCCCTTGAGGTCCTTAGGGAACTCTAACACACCCAGATATGAGAAAGGCTATGAAACAATCTTGGCATTTGAGGTGTTGGAGTTAGATTTATTACATAACTCAGAGAGGAAATCCTAATCAAGTGCTGAAAATCTGGGCCTGTTTTCAGGCTCTCTATAGTGTAACTTTTCATTTTTCTTTTCTACTTATGTAATTCATTTCAGCATTGGTCTCTAATAATCTGTTGTAAACAAGTATTGGGGCTGGCTAGTGAAAAGGGGAGGGTAGTTACATATGCTATCAACATCAATGGGTAGAAACCACGTGTTAGGTTCACATTTCCTATATGTGCATTAGAATCCATGTGTAAGATCAACCCATTCAAAGCATGTCATGCATTAGATACCATGTTCTTAGGTTTACTGTTTCAGCATCTCATTTGGCATCACTTTACCACTTAGAAATCCTGCTTTAGGCTAAATAACAGCATCAACATAAAACTGTAGCTCTTTCACGTCTTGAAGTCATGCTGTAATTCTTTGGGCATTTAGAAATCATGCTTTAGGAGTTCTGCAATCATTCTGCCTTTTCATATGTGCACGTTAGATCCCTGTTTTAGGATCTTGTTCACTCTCGCTCAGTAACACCTTGTTAAACTACTGATGCATGAAAAGGACATAAAACAGTCTCATGTTTGATTAACCTGTTTAAGTGAAACCGGTCACAATCCCTGCATGTCTTTGCAACATTTAGAACAGTATGCTTTAGGTAAAATAACTTCCAAACCATTTTTAATAATTCTGCTAACTGCTGCATATTATTTTACGCTTAGGCAAGTCTTAGGTAATCAACTTTAAAACAAAACCAGTACCGTCTTTGTGTATTAATGTTTAACTATCAGTCATGTTAAAAGTAGTAGGCAAGCTTGATTAGGACTTCTTCTATGAGTCATGTAATATTCTGACCCTGCTGTTA